GGTTTGCCTAAATTGAAGATGCCTAAGAATGAAATATGTGGTCTATGTCAGTTAGGAAAACAAACTAAAGTGTCACATAAGAGACTTATTCATAAAGTCACTTCTTGACCTTTAGAATTGATTCATATGGATTTGATAGGTCGCATAACACCTGATAGCATTGGAGGAAAAAATATTTGCTTGTTATGGTTGATGATTTTTCTAGATTTACTTTTGTTGCATATTTGAGAGAAAAATCTGATACTTTTGTGAATTTCAGGTCTATTTGCCAACTTATTCAAAATGAGAAGGGATATCGAATTAATCGGATTAGGAGCAACAATGGAGGTGAATTCGAACCTAAGGAGTTTATTGAATATTGTGATAAAAATGGCATTAAGCATGAATTTTCAGCACTTAAAACAACACAACAGAATGGTGTAGTGGAAAGGAAAAATAGGACAATCGCAGGAATGGCTCGTATTATGCTTCAGGAGAATAAGATTGCAAGTCACTTTTGGGCTGAATCAGTACGTACTGCTTGTCATATCCTAAATAGAGTTACTTTTAGGCCTGGTACTAACAAGACTTCATATGAGTTATGGTATGATAGAAAGCCCATTGTTACATACTTTAGAGTCTTTGAAAATAAATGTTATATCCTTAGAGATAGGGAACACTTAGGAAAATTTGACTCTAGAAGTGATGAAGGTGTATTTTTGGGTTATTCACAAATCAGTCGGGCTTATAGGGTTTTTAATCTTAGAACCAAAGTGGTCATGGAGTCTATAAATGTGGTTTTTGATGATACAAAATCTAAGATAATCTCTTCTCAACTTGATGAAGAAGAAACTAATTTTGAAATTGTAGGAGAAAGGAAAGAACCTGCAATTCAAGAAGAAGAAAGAGTTGAGGATAAAAGTGTAAAGGGTGAAGACGATGAGGATGAGGAATTAGAGGTTACCACTGATGAACCTATAGGAATTCCTACACCATCTCTAGATATTCCCACATCTAGTAATTCTAGAGTTAGATTGAGTCATCCAATTGACAATGTGATAGGTCTATGGGATAAACATAGTACTAGGAGTACAGTCCGTGATGATGTAGGAAACTCATGCATTATAGATGATATTGTTCACTCATGTCACATGGCTCAGTTTGAACCTAAGAATGTTGATAAAGCCCTTCAAAGTTCTGATTGGCTTATGGCTATGCAAGAAGAATTGCTTTAATTTATGAAGAATGATGTTTAGGAACTAGTGCCTCGACCTAGTGATATTAATATCATAGTGTAATACCCCTAGTTTCAAAAAGGATAAAATTGGAATTTCAATTATTTTTATTTCATTTTTATGTGACTAGTTGCTTGGGTGTTTAATTGTTTTCTTTCATTATTTGATTTAATTGTGTAATTTAATTGAATTGGTTTATTTGGTAAGTTGATTTAAATGATGTAGTTTTAATTCTTTGATTTACTGTTTTAATTTAATTATTTGTTTTCATTTCTTTATTTAAGATTAGGGTTTTATTGGGACGTCATATAGGTATCTGTTATATATGTTTATAATTAGGATTTTATCGGCCGACTCTAGTTTGATTAGGGTTTCTGTCTTAGCTCTAGTTTAATTAGGGTTTTCTAAGTGCCTATATATATGTGTATGAGTTTTTACTGAGGGTTGGGAGAACCTTATTCACGGCACAGTGGAAATAAAACAGAACAAAGATAGAGTTGAGAGAACAGAGGAAATCATAAGAGCTACCAAGGAGAAGAATAGAGAGGATCAAGGGAGGGTTGTGGTGGATTAAGTCAAACCCATAGGAGGCTTGAAGGAAGTTAGCAGTTGCCAGAAACTTAGAGACGACGCCGAGATTTCATTACTGAAATCACAGGCAAGTTCTTCTCTTCCTCCTTCCCTCTGGCTTGTGTTCTGTGCACCTAAACAATCTCTAGGGTTTAATTAATTATTAAATCAGAACTTACATGCTTGCTATATAATATACTGATGATCTTTACGTGTTAAATTTGATTCTGATATAATGCGTGCAAGCTTGTTTCAAGTCTTGATCAGTTTTCTGTTTTAAGCATGTTATGTTGTTAAACAATTTTAGTTTCTGTAATTGCCTTTAACCTCTGTAAATAAATCATGGGGATGTTACTATGATGATATAAGATCTTTAGGTTCAGGGGTGAAGAGGAACAGAGGAGTTGGAATGGAATGGACGTTGCAAGTTAGCTTAAGTTTCGTACTGTAAACATGATAGTTTAATGGCTAAATCTAACCTCTGTAATGGTCCCAGTTATTGTAAACAACCTTGGGGATGCTTCTAGACTCAATTAAGACTCCTAAGATTAGTTTTAGAACCCAATAGAGTGGTAGGAATTGATCAGAGAGGGAGCAGACGGATTGAAATGGAGCAGAACGAGGACGAAGGCTCTCAAAGGAGGTGAGAGCCGGCTCCATGGATGTGGGAGCCGGCTCCTACACAAGTAGAGCCGACTCCTACACAAGTAGAGCTGACTCCAAGGACTCCTAGAGCCGGCTCTAGGCTGAAAGAGCCTGCTCCCAAAATTTGGAGCAGGCTCCATTTTCAATTTTACATTCTAATTTTTATTTTTTTTTAGTTTTTCTACGTACTGTTTAACACTGTTGGAGCATGGAGACTATTTGAGTGGATTTGGAACTTTACAGAGGGACTAAGGAATGAATTTTGGGTGTTATTAAGACCCTAAATTGATTAAAGTTTAATTCTAAATTAACGGAACAAACCGTATAAAATTTATGCACATTATATACGGTTAATGGATGGATGATGATTTAAATGCTTAAGCTTATTTTTGGATTTTCCAGTGGGATCTATTATGTTTGGAAAATTGTTCTAAATGCATTATAGGGTCATTGATGTATTGAAGTTGATCTATACATGCTTTGGAGGCTAATTGTTGAAGTATTAAATCCTTTATGCAACTATATGGATTAATGCTTGGTTTGAAATTGCTAAAGCATTAATCAATCTTCTGCAATTATTTTAGCAATGTATCGGACTATAATATGATTATAAAATTTATTTAAATGCATGATAGAGTCATTGATATATTAAATTAGATCTATGCATGCTCTGGATGTTAGTCATTGATTTATTAAAGCATTTCTTACAACTATATGGTTAAGTGCTCGGATATAAATTGCTGAAATTTTAAACATATTTTTGCAATGATTTGGATATTGGTTTTAGACTGTAAATTACTAGCCTATTATTTATGTTTTGTAATTTACATGGATATGGAGGATTGTATGCACCGGTATGGGACGGTAACATATTAGGGACGGTTTAGCTCAAAATGCATAAACCTAACCTAATGGATTAACAGAATGGATTGAAAGATATTGAATCCTAATTATGACAAAGTCAGATCAACTGCAACTAAGTTGGATGACTTCCTGGATTAATGGATGGTAGTTAAGTCATATCAACTGAATAAGTTGAGTGACTAACTAGTTGGTTTATTGTATGTCAGTTTAATAAATATTTTAACTACATACCCTGGTTTTGGACGGACTTTATATATATATTTATGGTACCACGAGATGAGCTTGAGTTTCAGATTCATTGGTTAGGGTGCGTATATGCAATGGATGCGTCGCTGGCTATTGTAGGTTGAGGTGTACCCTGTTAGGTCTAGGTACTCATGCCCACCTTTGGGTGCGTTTTCGCATGTTACCTTCTATTCAGGTTGAGACCCCTACTGTAGTCCAGTGAATGTCCCTTAGTGTGGATATATATATATATATATATATATATATGTATGGACTGGATAGTTATTGTTGAGATATCTAGGGTGTGTCTGCGTATCGGGTCACTGTTTGGATTGTAGTTAGAGAAGAATTTGCATGTGGACCTGACCCACTCTTATTTTTACAGGTGTTCGTTAGTTCCAGTCTTAGAGCTGGATTGTCTGAGCAGATACAATCATTTCACTCCACCGATGCTGCAGGACTTTGTTTTATATTTTAGGCTTTGGTTTTATTTCCAGTCATTTGAGTTCAGTGGGATATTTTAGGGGACCACTAGATGGATTCCCAAGTTGTATAATTTGGAGAACGATTTGTATTCGTGGAGGATCAGTTGTAACAGAATAGTTTATTTATCAATGAAATTATTTATTCTGAGGTTTCAATTATTGGATTATCATTTTTAGTTTTCATTTCAGCAAATTTTATTTATCTCATTTGTTTTAATTGTATTCTGTGTTCGATTATTGCTAATTGATTTGATATCCTCGGGTAATCGGGCGTGGGCCTGGCCAACCCGCATCCGGAGATCCAGGGGTATCACACATAGGGACCAAATGGATTTTTAAAAATAAACTTGATGAACATAGTCTTGTGATGAGAAATAAAGCTTGATTAGTTACACAAGGATACACTCAAGTTGAAGGAATTGATTTTGATAAGACTTTTACACTTGTTGCTAGACTTGAATCTATTCGACTTCTTTTTGCTCTTGCATGTCACTTTAAATTCAAATTGTTTCAAATGGATGTTAAAAGTGCTTTTCTAAATGGTATTTTGCAGGAAGAAGTTTATGTAGCACAACCAAAAGGTTTTATTGATCCACATGATCTTGATTTTGTTTTGCATCTTAAAAAGGCTCTTTATGGTTTAAAGCAAGCACCTATAGCATGGTATGAGAAGTTGACTTCTTATTTATTACACAAGGGCTTCAGGAGAGGAGGAGCAGATAAAACATTGTTTATTTTTAGGAAAGGAAAAGATTTTATTGTTGCTCAAATATATGTGGATGATATTGTTTTTGGTGCTACATGTGATAACCTTGTTCATACTTTTTCTAAAGATATGAGTAAAACTTTTGAAATGAACATGGTTGGGGAACTGACTTTCTTTCTAGGTTTCCAAGTGAAATAACTTGATGATAGAATTTTCATATCTCAATCAAAGTATGCAAAGGAGCTAGTTAAGAAGTTTGGTATGAAAGATTCAAAGCATATTCAAACTCCTATGAGTACTTCATCAAAATTGGATAGAGACTCTGATCCTAATAAGGTTGATCATTTCTTGTATAGGAGTATGATTGGTAGTTTATTATATTTGGAAGCAACTAGGCCAGATATTTCATTTAGTATAGGTGTTTGTGCTAGGTATCAAGCTGATCCTAGAGAACAACACATTCTTGCAGTCAAGCGCATTATTCGTTATGTCAATAGTACATTGAATTATGGATTGCGTTATTCTTCTAAGTCTAACTCTGAGATTGCAGGCTATACTGATGTTGATTGGGCTGGAAATAAGGATGATAGAAAGAGTAATTCAGGTGGTTGTTTCTATGTTGGTACTAATCTTGTTTCATGGTACAGTAAGAAGCAAAGTTACATATCTTTATTATCTTATGAGGCTGAATACATTGCTGCTGGAAATTGTTGCACACAATTGCTTTGGATGAACAAATGCTACTGGATTATGGAGTCGATCAAGGTACTATTTCTATCTTTTGTGATAATACTAGTACAATTAATATTTCAAAGAATCCAATTTTGCATTCTAGGACTAAGCACATTGACATTCGACATCATTTTCTTAGGGAACTTGTTGAACAAAATGTCTTGTCTTTGGAAAAAGTGCATACCGATCAGAATTTGGCTGATATTTTCACTAAACCATTAGATGCTCCTAAGTTTTCTCATTTTAGGAAATTTATTGGTGTCTGTTGTCTTGATTAGATGCATTGCAAAGACATAGTCTAGAAAGGATCTTCATGCATATCTTGAGAGTCTAGATTATGTTTTTGGGAAGATAAGCAAACCATATTGATTGAGTATGTTGAACACCAAAAGTTTCATGACACATGGATTATTTGTGGAAAGCATAAAATGGCTATGATTTGTTGAAGTTGGTTTTACTTACTTTTTTTCGTATACTAAATGAATCATTGATAGTACATTTACTTGAGATGTCATTGTTTTGGTCAAAGATAGTATTTATATGATTGATCATTGTCTTAGAATTTAAACTTGATTTATGTGTTTTAAACCAAAAGAGTGAACATAAAAGAAAATTGAAAAACAGCTTGGAATGAAAAATTTTGAAATAGAAAGGAAATATTTGTTGTTTAGAAAAATGTGAGCTGGAAAAGGCTACCTTTGGGAATTGTCCGAAAGCTACCTTGACTCAAAACAAATGAGAATAAGGGAAAGAGCTGCCTATAAGCGTGAAAGTTGCCAATATGCAAAAAGAAAAAAAATGGAGCACAAAGAGAGATAAAAAAAAAAAAAAATAATGTCTTTTACACATGTTGATTATTTGATTTCTAAGGATATGTGATATCATTGATTTATTATCTGAAATCTGAATAATTGACATATCATATGTTTTTGGAACTTGGTGGTGATTTTACTACACTTACTAAGTTTGTGGAACTTAATTGAATTGATCTTGGTTATTTATGTTGATACATATAATCTTGTGGAGTCTACAATCTCATTGGTTTCAATTTACAAGATTTATATGGTTGGTTGCTTCCTCCTTCTAGGATTTTTATTCCTTGAGAACCTTGTTAATTTGTGACAAAAAGGGGGAAAGAGTGGAGGTACTTCTCATTCAGGGGGAGAGATACTTTTTGCATTAAGGGGGAGTACTATTGTTCATTGCATTACATTGCATTGACATTCAAGCATTATTAGCTTTGCTAATTTATGCTTGTGTTTATTTTCTTGATTAAGCTTTACGAGTAGTTGTGTTTAAGCTAATGTGCAAATTACAGGTTGCTACATGTGTTGAAGTTTTCTGAGGTTTCAAGAAAATTTTCACGTTTTATTTTCCTTTAATAATCACTGTAATTTACTTTTCTGCTTGGGTAGATTGTTGAATTGTTTTTAGGGTTTTGTCACGAAATTGTCAAAGGGGGAGATTATGAGATATATATTTTATAATTGGCTTATTTCGTTGTCAAAACAAGTCTGATTGAGTTGTAATTTTTTGGTTCCAAAATTTTCGAAGATTGACGATCGGATGCGGATTTGAAGAAGAAAGTCAAGTGTTCATTACTACACTCTGAGATAATGAGAAAGATGCTCTAAGAAGGTTGAGAGGTAGTGAGAACAGTTAGGACGGTTTCTGGAAGGTTCGAAACAAAAATAATTGCAAAATATTACAAATTTTCAAGACTGTCCATCTTGAACTAGTTCAAGATGGCTGAACCGATTCAAGAATCCGTGGGATTCAGTACTGTCCATCTTGAACCGGTTCAAGATGGCTGAACCGGTTCAAGGTCTTCTAGCAGCACTTGGATTTTAGTTTCCCTTTTGCTGAAAGTTTCCTTTTCAATTCCAACTTTCTTCCAAGTCCTATGCACGAAATTTATCATATTTTATGAGGGATTAGGACTTTAAAAACTCTATATAAACCATGTCATATACATTGGTTGAGTGAGGCCTTTAGGGAAAATCAATTCTATATTTAAAAAAAGCCTTTAGAGAGAGAAAAATTCAGAAAATCAAATCTAATTATTTTGAATTTATTTTTGAGAGCACACATATATATTAATGAGTGATTTAGTTGTAGTGTTCTCTATCTCATCAGAATTGGAGCTGTATTGAAGATTCAGATATTTCAGATGATCAACAGGATTTAATTCTTCTACAATCGAGTTCAGATCTTGAAGAAGAGAAGTAAACACAATCACACTTTGAAAGGGTTGGAGCATTCGTGAAGTGCTGTCGATCTACTTGCTACTCTTTTACAAATATCAAGTGTAAGCCTGAGATCAAGTTGCTATTGGACGGGGAGTCGCAAAGCCAAAAGACTTTCAGCGGTTGGTGTGGTGTAGAACGATTGGGTGTGAGCCAGAGTTAAAGTTCGGTATACTTTGTTTCAAGCATAGTGGATTGGTTTACTTTAGACTACACAGTCCACGAGGTTTTTCTCATAACAGTTGACATATTTTATCAACTGGGGTTTCCTCGCTAAAAATCCTGGTGCAATCTCTCTAACTCTAACTTGCTTTACTATTCTTATATTTGTGATTGTGGATGTTTAAATTGGTCAAATAATCTAATCAATCGTAAATTAAACAAGTTGACCTAATAATCAGATCTAGGTCATTAATGAGCTAATCACCATTGAAATCAACTAACAATTTTCGCATCCCGCGTAACTCTCGTTTCACAAAAACTGGTCCACCATTACCTCAATTTGCAACTGGACTGGTGTCTCCTGTGGTCTCAGCAACCAAAGGGTTACAGCTTTGAATCTCTTTGATATGGGTCTCAGTGGCACCATCGCTCTACATCTTGGGAACCTCTCATTTCTCACATCTCTTGACATTAGTTACAAAGGTTTCAACGGTCATATACCCAAAGAGTTGGCTAGTTTGGATCGATTACTAGAGATCGATTTACAATACAACAACTTTAGTGGAGAGGTACCATCATGGTTTGGGATCTTATCAAAACTTCAACATTTGTTTCTATTTAATAATAGTTTCACAGGTACCATTCCACCATCAATATTCAACATTTCAAAGCTAGAGATGTTGAACATAAACTACAATTCTCTTCATGGTAATATTTCACAAGAAACTGGTAATCTGTCCAACCTGAAAGTGTTAGACTTGAATTTTAACAAGCTTACGGGCTCCATACCATCTGCTATATTTAACATGTCTTCACTGCAAGTAATTGATCTCACATCAAACAACCTTTCTGATAGTCTCCCAATAGACATGTGCACTCAAATTTCTTTGCTTTAGCGACTCTGCCTTTTTTCTAATCAACTGCATGGCCAAATTCCATCTGGTTTATACAAGTGTAGGGAACTCCAACATCTATCAATGTCTAACAATAACTTTACTGGCAGCATACCTAGAGAAATCGGCAACTTGACAATGTTAAAGGTGTTGAATCTTGGTTGGAACTGTTGAACATTTTGGCTCAATTTGAGGCTTGCATCACCCATGATGTCATCAAGATTCTTAGGCTCCAAGAATGTGTGCCCAACAAGTATTTTGAGTGGTCACTAAGCAGCCCCATGTGTGATTAACAAGGCTTATGCTTGATCATCAAGCATAAGTTGGCTTTCTTTGGTTATAAATAGCCATGTCTCCCATGCATTCCAGATCATCCGAAAATCATCTCATCAATTGAGTGAGTTATCAGTATTAGTTAGTGTGTGGGAGATTTTGGGTGTAATTGGATTTTGGGTGTGAGCCACTTTGCCTTGTATCTCTTTATTTCTATAGCAAAATATTGTTCTGTCTTCTCCCCGTGAACGTAGGTATAGCCGAACCACGTAAATTCTTTTCTCGTTTGTGTGTGTGCCTATTTATTTTCTTGTCATTATTTTTCTCTTGTTCTCATAAACTCCTATTTGATCCTTATTTCATAACAAACTGGTATCAGAGCTCGGGTTCGTGTATATTGTGTACAGATACTGTTCACACGCACGGTACTATTCACATATACTATTCGGGTACTGTTCATAAATACGGTACTATTAACCAAGAAATATTTTAGGGAGTTTTTTGAAATGTCGACCAGATACGAAATTGAGAAATTTGATGGCAAGATTAGCTTCAGTCTTTGGCGCATTAAGATGCAGGCCCTGTTGACTCAGCAAGGTCTAAAGAAGGTATTATTCGGGAAGGACAAGTTGCTAACAACTATGTCTAATGAAGACAAGGATGAGGTCGATGAAAAGGCACGCACTGCGATTATTTTGAATCTAGCTGATGAAGTGCTGCGTGAAGTTATTGATGAAAACACGGCGGCAAAGTTGTGGCTGAAATTAGAAACTCTGTATATGACGAAGTCTCTCACCAACAGACTCTACCTGAAACAGAGACCCTACACCCTTCGTATGAAGGAAGGTATGCCTCTTAAGGAGCATATTGATAATTTCAATTCTATTATTATAGATTTGAAAAATACTGATATCAAAATTGATAACGAGGATCAAGCCCTTATTTTGTTGTATTCTTTGCCTCATTCCTATGAGCATTTTGTTACCACATTGCTTTATGGAAAATACACTATTAGTATGGAGGATATTAAATCCTCATTGAACTCTCAGGAGTTGAGGAAAAAGGTGTCTAGGAATATTGGAGATGAACAGGCCGATGGTCTATTTGTAAGAGGTAAAGGTGAGATAAGGGGTTTTGGTGGTAAGGGCAAATCTAGATCTCATAAAAATGTGGAATATTACTACTGTCACGAGACAGGGCACATCATCAAGCACTGTCCCAAACTAAAGGCAAAGAATGGGAATGGCAAAAAGAAGGTTCAAGAAGCAACTTCTGCAGCAACTGCTACAACGAGTGATTCGGAAAGTGACGATTATGTTCTCATGAAAACCTTATGTTCAGGTATGTCATTTAATAATAGTGGGATTCTTGATTCTGGTTATTCCGTTCATATGTCTCCCACTAGGGATTTTTTCTCTTCCTATAAAGAGGTGAAAGGTGGATCGATTTTGACGGTGGACAGGAAAGCTTTCAAAATTTTGGGAATTGGAACAGTCAAGATCAAGACACATAATGGGTTGGTGAGAACATTATCAGATGTGCGACATGTACCGGATCTGAAGATGAATCTTATTTCAGTAGGTGTGCTAAAATCCAAAGGTTACAAGGTTGTAACAGAAGGTGGAGCAATGATGGTCATGATGGATTCTCTTGTGGTGCTACAGGGCACCAAGGTGAAAATTTTGTATCTTCTCCAAGGGAATATAGTAATAGGTGGAGCTTCTACTGGGTTTTCTATAGTTAGCAGAAATCTGCGTTCGAGTTTTGGTAAAGGAAAAGTTAGAAAGAGGAGTTACGATCTTAGTTCTCAAAAGGGTTGTAAGGGGACTACACAACATGGTGGGAGAATGAAATCCATTTTCAGATGGCAACCAAAATTGCAGCAATCCTTATAGGGAGGCAAACCCATGAGGACATGTGTGATATTGACTTGCAATAATCTTGGTGGCAATAAGATAGTCCATTCCAATGCCATTAAGATGCGTGGGAGGCAAGTAATTAGTCATAACAAAGATGTGAGGAAAAGTCAAGGATGTCCTAATCTCCACAAGGGTGAGAAGATGACTTTTCACTACCAACCGGTGGTTTGTGGGTGGTTGTAGAAAGTTGCTGAAGGAGATATCAAACTTGGAATTTCTGAGGTTATTTTTTATAAGCATTTAGAGTTTGACGCAAATATTAGAGGTATGTTTGTGGCTGTACAAGACATATATGGGTTGAAGAATGAGAGCTCGAGGGTTAAGTTTGAGGATGACTCAAACTTAACTAAAATTCTCAATTAATTTGTTTTGTGGAAAAGACAGTTTGTTTAGCAGAGATACAGTGGCTCATTTGAATTTTCGCCAAGATGGAGATTTGTTGAACATTTTGGCTTAATTTGAGGCTTGCATCACCTCTGATGTCATTAAGATTCTTGGGCTCCAAGAATATGTGCCCAACAAGTATTTTGAGTGGTCACCAAGCAGCCCCATGTGTGATTAACAAGGCTTATGTTTGAACATCAAGCATAAGTTGGCTTTCTTTGGCTATATATAGCCAAGTCTCCCATGCATTCCAGATCATCCGAAAATCATCTCATCAATTGAGTGAGTTATCAATATCAGTTAGTGTGTGAGAGATTTTGGGTGTAATTGGGTTTTGGGTGTGAGCCACTTTGCCTTGTATCTCTTTATTTCTATAGTGAAATATTGTTCTGTCTTCTCCCTGTGGACGTAGGCATAGCCGAACCACGTAAATTCTTGTCTTGTTTGTGTGTGCCTATTTATTTTCTCGTCATTATTTTTCTCTTGTTCTCATAAACTCTTATTCGATCCTTATTTCATAACAGGAACAAACTCGAAGGTACGAGTTCACTTTCAAGCCTAACTAAATAGCTACAAAAATTAGAAGTAGAATGAAAAGCTCACCTGAGGATAAAAAATTGATAAACTTCTACAACTATTTCTCTCTTGATGTTTTTTTAAAGGGCAAAATTCAAAAAATCAACCTTGACTTTTAGCATGTTGCAAAAAATCTCCCTTATGAATATTTTTGGCAAAAAACTCCCCTTAACTATCCTAAGGGGGTGTTTTTAACTGATGTCCATTTAAGTGATTGTTTCAAGAATCTTTTTGGACGAAATTAGCCCTTAACAGATTATTCTTCAGATAATTTATTTATTATTTTCTCTCTCTTTCCTTCAAGCAAGGTATGTGAAGCAACAAAGAAAAATTGCCAAAAAATAAATAATAAATAATGAAAAGCCAATAAAATCATATTTAAGCTATGTATAATTAATAAAATAAAATTGAATACAACTGCACAGGAGAGAGAAGATCCACCATGGCGTTGGAATAGAAGATGGAAAAATTAAGATCCTCAAGAACTCCTTCAGTATATTTGATACTTAATTCAATTCCTTTCTTTTTCTTAATTGAATTATGTTACTGAGTTGGACTGAAATTGACAATTAAAAAGTAACATAATATCTTTTTCAAATCTGATTTTTTTTTTTTTTTTTTCAAAATTACTTACTTCGAGAACACAAAATACCCCAAAGTAACTTTTTGAGACGAAATTGTTATAGTTGATATACTCAAGTTAAGACCTAAAAATATAAAAGTTTTTAATGTGAAAGGACATCATTGCCCTCTATTTAATTCACAAGAATCTAATTATAAAGGATATTTAAGTAATTTAGTTTGAGAGAAATGCATTTATCATCTCATCATATATTGTTTTGACTCCACCACCTACTACTCGAAAATTGTTTTGAGTTTATAATTGGGTTTCTCAATCTGCTGTTAGCTTTGTGTTTGAAGGAATGAAAAGGCTTGCTTGACATGGAGAGAGAAAAGAGAAAAAATAAATAAATTGTCTGAAGAATAATCTGTTAAGGGGTAATTTCATCCAAAAAATTCCTTCAGACAACCACTTAAACGGACATTAGTTAAAAGCACGCCCTTGGAATGGTTGAGGGGGATTTTTTTGCGAAAAATATTCATAAAGAGAGTTTTTCGCAACTCAGTAAGAGTAAAGCTAGGGAGATTTTTTTGCAATTCGCACTTTTTTAAACAATATTTATACAAAATACAAGTTGAATACTGAATAATGTGCCTTTTATACCCTTTTTTTTTTCTTTGGTTATACATATCACAAGGGTGTACTAAGTTTACTTGTAATCATGCATTTACCATTGTAGTTAATCGCTTATACAATATAAGGAAAGAACATTTTTGTCTTGCTTCTTACAATGTTGCAGGTGTAATTCCAACAGAGATAGGTAATCTTAAACAGCTGGAAGGATTGATCTTATCAACTGGCTCTCTAACAGGGTCAATTCCATCTTCCATCGTCAATATTTCTTCATTGAGATCAATTGATTTCACCAGCAATAACCTCTCTGGAAGCCTCCCATTGAACATTCAATATGATCTCCCAATTCTTGAAGAGTTATTTCTTATGACAAATCGGCTCAGTGGTCAAATTCCATCCAAATTAGGGGAATGCAGAGGACTTTGAGTATTAGCATTGTAAGAAAACAAATTCACTAGAAGTATACCTAAGGAATTTGGGAACTTTACATCCCTCAAAGTTCTAGCTCTTTATGATAACAACTTGACAGGTAACTCCAGTACTGTATTGTCTTTAATTAATTTATATTAGTAAATGTATATCTCTTGCACATGTACATGACATTTGCATCTAGATCCACTTTCGAAGAACCCATATCTTCCATTATAAAATAAGCTAGAAACATGTGTTTTTTTTTTTCACAGCTAGAAACATGTATGTGGTTAAAATATCATCCTTTTCAAAATCATATATTAAAATAAACCATTTTCCTTTGGGTGGGGCTGACAAGGAAATTCATTGGGGATATCTAATAATATGAAAATAGAAATTAAAGTATAATAAATTTCTTTTTACAATATAATTCTTAATATAAACAAAATCCAATATAAGATTATCTATAAATGAAAACTAATTGATAACTCCTTAGGTGCACATAATAATATATTTGATCAATTTTGACATAGATTGTGACGGCCCAAGTTTTTCAACCCGGTGCATCAGTGATGAACCGAAAGTTGACCTGATAACGGATAAAACCAAAGTCTATAGAGATATAAACCATCCCCAAGACACCAATGTGACCTTCCATGAAGTCACGGAGCTTAAAGAAATAACCGGAAGCGAAAACTAACACGAAAAGGGTCAAATGGTATCCTATGGCACCAATGACAACCAAGGGGACAAAATCTAGTTCAAACTAGACCACGTACGCCAAAACTGAAAAAGAGACTTTAAGCCTCACTTGAATCCCCCATTGCATGATCAACTTAATTATATGCAAGTGTGTGATGATGTGAACATACACGTAATTGTAAAACAACATTTTAAACATGCTGAAATGGCCTATGGCCTTATTACAATTCAATTACAACATTTAACATGTCAAACCTTTAAGTTGGAAAAATTACATTTCATAGGCAAAACTTAAACATGCTAACACTTGCATGTGAACAAGAATGCTTCTAAAGAAACTTCCATTCTGCAATTCACCCAAAGCAACTGCAAATCTCCAATCTTATATCCTATACCTGAAATATGCCCCAGTAACTTTGAGGTGAGTAACAAAAAGCAACTCGTAGGAAATGAGCATGCATCGACCTAACGTTTTACATGTTTGCATGATCTAAACATCGTGGTTCATTCCACCTAGCGTCTATGTCAAAGGTGAGACTCAGGGAGCATCCTAAGCTTCCTAAGATCATTTCTAGCATAAAATACATCATTCATGCAATTCAAACAACATAGGAGTATGCTATACAAAACGACAAAATATAGATTCTCAAAGTCATCAACTTGAAATCTAAAATTGTAACAACTAAATATAACCATTTAGCATAAATTGGAGTTTCTAATACCACAAGTCAAGACATAGATCCTTAAAGTAATCAACTTGAAATCTAAAAGTGTGTAAACGACTAAAGTGGGTCATGCCACCTATATTCCAAATGAATCTATAGGATCATTCCTAAATCACATGTGAACAATATAGCATAGATGTGCTTAACAACATCAAAATTTATAATGATTCATTAAAAATCATGAAACATGAATGTACTTAACAACATTAAAAGCATGCTACGATTCATTCAAAATCATAATGCGTAAATGTACTTAACAACATTAAATCGCCAATAACTAAAACCACAAGTCACAATTAAACATTGGTTGTCAACTTGGAATCTAAAAGTGCGAAATCAACTAAATATAGCAATTTAGTATAATTAGAATATCTTATACCACACATCAAGACATAGATTCTCTAGGTTATCAACTAGAAATCTAAAAGTGCGAAATCAATTAATGGAACACTTGGATATCTAAGCTCGGAATTCTGCTGAGACCTCAATGGCTATTACGGAGATTAACTCACTGGTAATACCACCCCTAGTGCGCACTATCTCGACGGGGAGAACTCATACCTCCCACACTAGAGCCAAACTCTAGCCATGTCATAGAAACCATGTTCCAAGTGACTCCAAAATAAATAAGTTAACAACTTATATACAAAATATATATACAGCACGAAACTACATTCCATGCACAAGTAGGTCGAAACCACACAATGCATGCTCTAAATCCACAACTACTATAGGATGACAATGACGAATCTTCAGAGCGCGATTTGTTACGCACTATAATAACATCACATGTCGAATCTTCAGTGTGCGATTCATTACACGCTATCACAATATAATTCAATATTGAAAGCATAACTTATAAATTCATTACAAGTCTAAAATCATGCTTCAAACATACTAGCAGTGTTAAACACATGATTTAATCAATAATACAATAGAAATAGAAATTAATTATATAACCTAATTAATTTCTCTAAATTTCATATCTCAATCAAATGAACTCTAATTAACACATGTTAAGCAACATAACTTATTCATTACATGAATCAAATCAAAAGCTTACTTAGGTCATTGGATCAATAGGATGGAATTTAATTAAAACATGATAATTAAATCCCTAAATTCTAAAACAATATCAAATGGTCCCAAATTAATATATGCTAGTATACAAGCCCTAGTCATCACAAATATCAAGTTAAAAACTTAATTAGGCCAATGGAACCATTAAATGGATTTTAATTAAAATCTCTAGATTTTTATACTTATCCAAATGCTCTCAAATTAGAGTATGTTAAGGAACATGCCAAGACTTAATTTAAAAGCATATTACAAGTTCATTTCAGGTAAGGTATGACCATGGGAATTAATCTTTCACAAAAGAAAAATATTAAATAAAAAGTGCAATTCTTTTCCAAATAATCCAAATTTAATATATGTTAACAAACATATTAAAACATAATTTATCATCATGCCACAATTCATTTCTAAGCTGTATACACCCTTGCAGATTAATTCTTATATAAATAAATAAATAATACAAATTTTCTAAATTTGATGCAAGGCATACATATAAGTTGTATAATCATGGGAAACACTCAATACAACACACAAATAATCCTAAAACATCCCCCACCTCAATTTGAGATGAAAATCTCAAAAGCCCACAGAAAAAAAAGTGCTTCGAATCTGACGATACCGAAGGGTTTTGTCGGGGACAACATGATCTACATGAATCCGAAGGAAGCCCCATGAAAATCACAACTTGACTTCAAATCCAAACTCAAAAAATGGTCAGAAATGAGTTCTAATAAGGGTGAAAGATAGAGTACGACGAGGGAAACAACAAACGTTAAGGTTAAAGACTTTTCACTTAGGAAATCAAGTGGAAGAGAAGAAGAAAAGGTGGCAGCCCAAGGAGCTCCCATGGCTGCCGGCCAAGGGGGGAGGAAGATGATCAAAATCTGACTATTCTTCTTTAAGTCCCCTATTTATAGAAAATCTCAAAAAGTGCCCCGAAAGGGCCCCACTAGGTTTGGAAAAGTGAAATTTGAGTAGACGTGCTCAAACAGCAAAACTCTATAAACAAAAAAGATTAAAAATGAGAAAAGATAAACAACGGAAGAAACAACGTCAAAAATCGAGTCTTGAGCAGAAAGTTATGCCCCAAACAAGTTTAGCGGCAATTTGGGCCAAAAACCCTGAAACTGGAAAACAACGACCAGGAAGAAATTCTAAGAGTGCACGACTCGAAAAAATGTGAAAATGAATCATGTACGAGGATCCAAGCTCCAGATGAGGTAATTTTGCAATAACTTTCGTTAATTGCACAATTGCCCCTCCAAAAAGTGAAAACTGCACTAATGGCCCAGAATGAAAATATCTTCCAAAAATATTTTCTTAAAAACCCCTAAAATAAAATATCTTCAAAAGATATTTACGAAAAACACCCCAAGAAAAAAAAAAAGATTCCAAAGAACTATGCATCCATGCCCCTATGGACACTAGGAGCAACCAGAGTACTTTCTTACAAAAGTAAAGATACGTATTTCGTGGAAACCACTTAGAATGAAGATATTGATGAGCGCTGAAAAGTGCGTATTTAAATCCCTTAAGCTTAGACATTGTAGTACCTTTATCTATCTTACTTTATCATTTTAGATTGATTTCGTATTATTTCCATTTTCAGACACTTATCCAGAAAATAAGCTAACTCAGCCAAATAAGAGCAGAAATGAAGCAATTCTGGGATGAATCAAAGAAAGAAGCCAAGTGGAAGCAAAAGGAAGAAAAAGGTGAAAATCAACATCTTCGATTGATCTCAGATCAAAGTTCGATCGATCCAACATAATTAATCTCAGCACTTCAAGATGGATCAGAGCCGTGATGACATTTTCAGAGATCTCAAAAGTTCGATCAATCCAACATCATTCTTCGATCGATCGAACTACCTTGTCTTTATCTAAATGATTGATCTTATCTAGTTGTACTACCCTACAAACCACTTTTGCCTTTTTCCCAAAAATATCTTTAAAATATCTCAGATTTGTTTTTATCCAAAAAGCGCCGCCATTGAGGATCGATCCAACTTCAGTTCGATAGATCTCAGCCATGTTCGATCGATCCAAGTCCAAGGTTCGATCGATCGAACTTCCTTTAATGTGAAAAATTTAAATTTCCAGCTCACAAAAAGTTGTCCTTTATCCAATCATTGGGGAATATTTGTTGTACGACCCCAGCTTATTTTGGGTGTCATTTGACCTACCTATATAAGGATAAGGATTACTTTTTACATCATATCATATCATACCTTATAGAACTCTGGGAGAGAAAGCTTAGAGGAGGAGGAGGCTAGAGACACCATTGGAGACTCTTCATCAACCAAGGAGCAAATATCTACCATGGAGTTAGCCATTGAGGATTGGAGAAGCACTACCATGAGTGGCTAGACATCCTCTTGGGGCTAGAGTTAGCCCCAAGCATGCTTTCTACATCTTGATTTTGTGTATTATTGAGGGATTAGTGTTGTAATACATGTTTTGGCACTTATATATATATAGATCTTGTTTATTCAATGATTTATGTGGTTTA